TCCTGTGGGTCTACAGAACCAGAGGCCTCAGAACCGCTGGGTCCACCAACATCGTCCAGTGGGTCTACAGAACCAGAGGCCTCAGAACCGCTGGGTCCACCAACATCGTCCAGTGGTTCTACAAAACCAGAGGCCCCAGAGCCGCTGGGTCCACCAGCACCGTCCTGTGGTTCTACAGAACCGTCAGTCCCCCCTCCACCGGTCATCTGGTCTGCAGCGACAGTCTGCACCTGAAGACCACAGTCCATGACGTCCTTTGAGTCCATGCAGGACTTGGAAGACCTTCAGCTGAAGTTTTTCAGGCTCAGGCGGGACAACAAGCCGAGTTGTTCACCAGGGCATGTAAACAACAACAAGCTGCTGTTCACCCGGACATGTAAACAACAACAAGCTGCTGTTCACCCGGACATGTAAACAACAACAAGCTGCTGTTCACCCGGACATGTAAACAACAACAAGCTGCTGTTCACCCGGACATGTAAACAACAACAAACAGTCCACGGCTCCTTCCTGTGATCCTGACACCGTCTGCAGCGAGCAGCCATCTTGTTTCTAACATGGACCCGTCCCCAGACCGACCTCCAGGTGGAGCCATTGGTCCTCCATAGAGCCAAGGCCCTAAAGACCAGACCTGCTCCATGCCAGTCCTGATCCTGAGACCAGTCCTGATCCAGAGTCAAGTCCTGATCCTGCTCTGATCGATGTTTGGTTTGTGAATTCAGTTTTGGGATTAGAGCAGATTAAAGTTAAACTGGTGTTTTCACAGGAACATGAAGCTTCAGTGATCCTGTTTGAGGAACAGACTGGAGCACATCTTTGGATCTTCAGGTCTGACGTGACGGTTTGGAGGAGACTGGAATCTTTGGATCTGCAGAAACCTGCAGCTGTTCGGCACAAACAGCCGAACGGCCTCCAGACAGGAATTTAAAGGAATCTGGAAACAAGACGGGGCAGGTCCGCTCAGATGAAGTTCTGAAAGACGAGGACCGACCAGGACCAGAGGCTCCAAGATCACGAAGGGCTGCACGAGAAAAAACATTTAAATACAACTAAAAAATAAAAACATTGACGTCTTGATGGAACCGGCAGCCTGTTAATAAAGAATGACTTTAGATTAAAACGGCTGCTGCCTTTGAATTATACTGTGCTGCTGTTTTATTTTCATGACCTGCGTGAGTGTAATCTACATGTTTTTACGTGTTTAGTGGTATAAAAGTCTGAATATTGTTTTGATCTGGGCCGCTGATGCTGCCTCTGGGCCGGGTCGTTGTTGTAAGCGAGAGTTCTCAGTCGATGAACCTGAATCAATAAAGGTTAAATTTAAAACGTAATTAAATTAAAGCTGACATCATCAAAATAAAGTGATATTTCACATTCAACTGTTGAGCGGTTGGTCAAAAAGGGAGAAGATAAAGAATAAATAAAAATGGGCTCAAAACAGAACCCTGGGGTATGCCACAGGACAGCCTGGTGATTTCCGACATGATCCCATTCAGAGACATTAAAACTTGAGTCGGACCAGTACAATTTGAACCACCAGAGGACAGGACCAGATGAGGGCTGCTGATCCAGATGTGATCAGTTCAGTTTATTTCTAAAGCTCCAAGTCACAACAGAAGTCGTCTCAGGAACTGAACAGAAACATTCATATAAAATAATAATTGAACATTATTTATCTGAGGAGCAGCTTTGAGTTTAACTCCATCACAGAACTCTCATCTTGAGCAAGCATGAAGGCGACAGTGGAAAGAAAAACTCCCTCATGAGGAAGAAACCTTTAGCAGAACCAGGATCAGGACAAGAGGACCATCAGCTTCGACCGCTAATGTTGTTAGCACAACATTGCACTTAGCATGACACCAGAGTTAGCGTGATGTCAGAGTTAGCATGACACCAGAGTTAGCATGACACCAGAGTTAGCATGACACCAGAGTTAGCGTGATGTCAGAGTTAGCATGACACCAGAGTTAGCATGACGTCAGAGTTAGCATGACACCAAAGTAAGCATGATGTCAGAGTTATCATGACATCAGCGTTAGCATGACATCAGAGTTAGCATGACACCAGAGTTAGTATGATGTCAGAGTTAGCATGA